TGCGCGCGCGCGTGTGTGCATGTGTGTGTCACTCTCATTTCAGAAGGAGGTTGTTTGTTGGTTATCACGCTTCCGAATGATAATCACGGTTCTGTCTAGCGACCAGTTGCCTCTGCTCACTCAGAGTTGTCTGTTTCTGCCGTTTCGTTTGTGGTCTCGAATCTTCGGGTTTGGAGTTGTTGGCGTGTTCCTTTCTGAAACGGTTTCGCGATCACAGCTTGCACGTATTTGTCATCTGCTAGTTGATACTCATTACTGCTGTACGTTTCCAATATTCGTATCACGGCCCCATGACGATGTGCTACGTCATCGATGTCGGACGTTTGCGCGCTGCAGCAGTAGAGTTTCTTTTAAGTACAGTCTGTGTCCTCCAGTAATCTGCTGACTTCCGCGTAAATTGATTTGCTTAACATTTGCATATGTAGTTTAAATTATGGTTCAAAACACCGTAGTTTGTACGAAAAGAAGGGAGATTGTCAGTCAGTAGTTCTGTAGTAGAGTAATAATAATTTGTTATAGCTAAGAGCTGTCGATATGTGTATGGTTATTTTCGAGGAACGTTGATCGCAAATACTTTACAGACACGAATATGAACAAGCTTGTTAGTGTGTTAGTGTTGCCCTGATAAGGAGTCTCGTATGACTTGAAGCGTTAGCTGTTGTTTTGAGAAAATTTATATGCCGAGTCCCGTTGACTAAGCGACTCATCTGATCTACACACGCTTATAAATGAATTATCTTCTGTCTTCAAACTTATCTGTACGAAAAGTGACGTCAGTCGTTAATGATCATTTACTTTTTGAACTCATGCCGATACCGTACCGCGGGTGGCTTGAAACTACCATTTCGTGGTTAGCAGCACAGAAAGCAAGGAAAACATTTTACTGCAATTCACCGAATTGATGTTTCTTATCATCATGAAATGAACATGAACAGCAAAATGATGGATCATTCGATCTAGATTTTCATAAACGTCATGCATATCATCTGCGATTTCAGTTTTGCCTTGAGAAATTACCATACTGAAAATTGTCGAAATTGTCTATTCTGCTTGCGACATGATGTTCGTTGAAGATGGATCCAGCGCGGTCGAAAACGTATTGATTTCTTTTAATTAAATTTATCTACTGAAGATTATGAAGATCATGACGATCATAGTAGTGGAAATTATCATCAGCTGAGCTCGAACGCCGTCTCGCGTCCATTGACATACTATTATATTCGCCGCGTGTGCCGTTTGAATGTTGCGTCTTTAGCGTCGCAAGGAGAAACATGAGAATAGAAAGCTGCATTTTTC